CTAACTAATCACGCTCTTTCTTTCCAACTAAAATTTTATTTTTTTCTAACTAATCTTTCTTTCTATATCTATCTATCTATCTATCTATCTATCTATCTATCTATCTATCTATCTATCTATCTATCTATCTATCTATCTATTCAAAATATAGCCTTTTAAACTTAAAACTTAAAACCTTCAAACTTCATCTATAAATCTCCTCTAAAGCTCTTAAACTCTCTGCTCCGGCTTTCTCAAGCCAACTTAGAGTTTGTCTCGACAAACTTTTTTTCCTATTTTAATTTCCATTCCAGATTTTACGCACCTTACAAAAAAGATCAATTCTAACATATACCTTTCAATCTAAAACCTACATTTAAACGATAATAAAAAGTGACCAGCGTTTCACAAAAGCCTCAACTCTTCTCTTTATGTCTCTAACTACGACTCTTCACGCATTGTTCTCCGCGACGGATAAGAATAGCAGTAAAATAACCGAGATCTAATTTCAGCCTTCAATGAAACATCAAGCCAACTCTCCAGCGCCGCTCTCTCACTGCGCGACACAACCTGCCTTTCAGAAGGAGAGTTACGCGTGTGTGTTCAGGAGTTAAGAGCTTTCGTAGGCAATAAAGTTGAAAAGAGGCAGACGTACAACAAACACACACACACTGGAGTGATTCATGCAGAGGTCCAGGACACACACACACACACACACACACACGTCCAGCAGCTTCAGAAACACTTGAGAACATCAGAGTCAGGACAGAGATCTATTCATACGCATGCGTGTGCTTTAACTCTATTACACGTTTTCTTCTGTCGGATGCACAAAAACTTTACCTACAATATTTGTTAGAACTATTTTTTGTTATTTTTATTTGTTATTTTACAGTGTCCTTGTTATATATGTTACATGTACTTACTATAATAATAACAGTAAATTAAGCATAATTTCATGCAACTAACCCTCCAACCCTAATCCTATAACCCTATAGTAAGTACATGTGGTTAATTAATATTACTCAGTACTTATTAGTAACCGAAATTTTCAGTCAAATGTTGAAATCGTCTTTCTGGTATGACTTTATTCATCATATACTGTAAATAAACAATTGTCATTAGCTAATAAGTCATGCCAAGTCATGAGTTCCATATTAAAACAATTTATATATATATATTTTTGGCCACTAATTATCAGAGTTGGGTAATTTTTGGGGGATTTGAAGACAAATTTAACCTGATGACACAATACATGGATTTCATCAGTACAGCACAAGTAAAAATATATTTTTAAAATACATCAAATTTTAAATATATCATTTAAAACCACACTTACAGCAGGATAAAAAAGGTTCAAAATATTCATAAAATACTATAAAAGTATCTCAATTATATTCTTAGTATCATTGAGATGCTATTATAGTTTCACATGTTTTTCCGTGTGGATGCAGCATGTTGAAGGAAATCTTTTAATAATAATATTTTATAATTATTATACATGCAATTTTATGAGTTTAACTGAAAGTGAAAGAACATGGAATATTTAAGAGAACTGCAAGAAATCTGAAATCTAAATGAAGAATAAAGTTCAAGTTTGTGTAATTCGTCAACTACATGCTTATGTATGTGTGTGTGTGTGTGTGTGTGTGCGTGTGTGTGTGTGCGTGTGTGTGTGCGTGTGTGCGTCTCTAACCTGGTAGGGTGATTCTCTTGAGGAAGAAGTCCAGCCCTATTGTCTGTTTATACTGTTTCCCAAAAGCCTCTTGTGCAAAGCGGATGGCGAGCGATGTCTGAGAAACAGAGACAGAGACACACACACACACACACACACACACACACACACACACATTAGAACAGTTTTATTCTCACCTATCCTGAGGCTCCGCCCACTTCCCTGTGGCTACAGATGAAAACATCTTTGATTGACAGGTTCTTCATGTCAAGTACCACAGCCAATCAGATCACGTCTGTGTGGTGAGACACTCTAGATCCCCATCACCACATAACACACACACACACACACACACCTCTAACTTTAATACACACAGAATAAAGGGGCTTTGAAACAAGCGTGCAGTACGAAGAGTACTGAGTGAATTATGTCCATTTTGATTTAAATGTTGTAGAACAGGGATTTCCAAACTACCCTGAGATTTTAAGTTATTATTTCAATAATTTAACAGAACTTTTGCATTCACGGTTCTCTGATGGTTAATGGTCACATGACATGCATTGTTTTAATTTTAAGGCACCACAAGTAGGGTACATTTATTATATCTATAAAATAACTTATAGATATCTCCATACTTTAAGGTTGATTAATCACAGTACATTAAGTCAGTTGGTTTGTGAAATGAAGTTTTGTGAAATGTCATGTTTAAATATGCATATAAAACATTGTCTAATTAAATATGAATACATTTGCATACATTTCCAGCATATAAATCTGAACCTTGGATAAAGCCAGGTTTGATTTTGTTGTCATATTAGAGTTAAATGTTTTTACAGAAGGGATTTTTGATTTGTCTTTTAATCAGAAAATACTGTCAACAACCGGAAAAAAAAAACACTTTTTCATCTTTTTTCAGGAATAAAATGTTAAATAAATACCATGCAAGCGATATATGCACAAACCCATCAGTAAAATCCTTCAGAATATAGATATGAATAAAACTGTAAGTTTTGGTGAATATAAGTGTTACTGAAGTGGAGCAAAAAACAGTGCAATAAATATTTTCAAAACACGTGTTTATTTAATTGCACTTTATCTATACACTATTTTGGATGTTTTCTTTCCACCAGTCTGAAAGAAGACATGTTAGTTACGGAAGCAAAACACACCTAAATCGGACCAGTGCATAAGCATGCAAAAATTATTTCTGTTATTAATAATTTATATTTTAATTTAACATTTTCAGGATTTATTATTAGCTGTTTTTACAAACACCCTGTAGTTTCCTAACCAACCCCAGTTTGGAAAACCTAATACATTTCATTTCATTTCAATTTATTTATAAAGCACAATTAGAAACAACCACTAAATCTAAAACAATTTAGAAACAAAATACAGAGAAGACGCATGTAAACAACAAAGCACAGAAAGACAGAACTCATGAATTGTAAGCCAGATCAAATAAAAAAAAGATTTTAACTTAATAAAATAGATATTGTGGGAGCAGTTCTGATTTAAACAGGTAAATTCGATTCGCAAGCTCTCAATTCCATTCGATTTCGATTCCCGATTCGATTTCAATTCCCAATTCGACTCATAGGATTTGTATTAAATCTATATTAATTATTTATTTAAAAAAAGAACACAGCCAGTGTGACCATAAGTTTTCAAGTGGTTAATTAATAAAAATAAATGATATTTAGGTACACTTGGGTCCATTAAAACCCAACTATATTTCAAATGCATTCAATGAATAGACATGATTTGGTGCAAATAGGACATTTTGATGCAAGATTAAAAATTGATGCTGAAAACATATCTCGTTGATTGTATCGTCAAACCGGATCAGGTTATTTTATGTTTAAGATAAAACACACATATAATCTCCCAGCATCTCTGTGACATGCAACCCTATGAACAGCGGAGGAACACTGACACTGGCTTTTGGGTGATAGATAAATAAATATGGTAAAAAATCGATTTGTGGCTTTTGAGAATAAAATTTGAATTGACCACATTTTAAAATATGATTAATCTTAAAATCGATTGTTTCACCCCGCCCTAACGGACACAGGTTTGTGTTGGCGTTACGCTAGCGCTACTCTGTGCTTTCCCTCCCTCTCTAAGTGACGTTTAAACAACCCCATTGTGAGCCAGAAGGGTTTGCACACGCACGGTTACCCAGAAGCCTCTGCTGCGGCCACGAGGACGCCACACAAACCAAACACACAAATCCAGGAGAAAGACATTTCTCCTGTGGTCTGAAACCCTGAACACATTTCTAGTAGGAAAACTGGCCCTCACTAAGACGGCTTTCCAACCTCACCTCACGGCAAATGCTCTCACAACATCGGACACAAGATTTCTGATGAATTCTTAAATCTCTAAATCGGATTTTAGTGCTGTTCTTGAGTTTATGCATGAATAAAACCTTCTCTAAACATTATTTGTAGCTCCTGCAATCCAATAATCACAATAAGCTTCGATACTTTTGATATGAAACAAACTCTCAGCTGTCAAATTCAAACAATAAATGTTTAAACTTTGACATAAACCAGAGCATCAACTATTCTGACTTATTTTAGTGCCGTCTGTGTCAAGAAACACTGAGCTCTTTTTAATGTGGAGTGAGAATGAAGTAAATAAAGTACAGGTCACTACAGCAAATGGTTTCTTTGCTGATTTTAATTGATTTCATGAACCAATATGGATAGTTAAATCTCAAGAATCTATGTTTTAGTCTGGTCTGTTTTCAGTTAATGCGTGAACGAAACTTCTCTAAAACTGCTCCAATAATCACATTAGTTTATGTGCTTTGAAACAAAGTCTCAGCTTTTAAATTCTGTCAGTTTCATCCCTAAATTCAGTCATTCAATGTGTTTTTGTGTCTTTAATGTGTGTGACAGATGAACCGATCGTCTCGTCCTCTTCACTACTAGTTACAGCAGCAAATAAACATGATGAACATCAGAAGGAATGTTGAAATATTCAGAATAACTTCCTGAAATCAATCATGACTCATGTAATCCATCAATCAGCGTTTCAACCGCGGAAAGACGTCAATAAAACAACTTTAGAACAATAATGTCACGTAATTTACCTCAGGAAAGACATCCAATGACCATAAACGTTAAAAAAAAGAAGTGTTCCTGAAAAGTCAAATAAGTTTAGCTGATATGAGGAAGAGTAAATGATGACAGATGATAATGTTTGGGCGAACGACCCCTTTAAGTATCAGATCATCCTCGTTTCTAAGTTACTAAATCAAGGCAAAATTATATCTTTCACATTTAAGTTCTCTCATCTATTGTCTTAATAATTGTCCTCTTTGTTTTGTCAATTTGAATTTGTTCGCTCAATAAATGTAAAATGCCTCATTCAGCAAATACATTCACCAAGGCAACTAATGATTTCTTGTTTAGCAAATGTATAGTTTTATAGGACACTTAATATGTGAAGTGAACAATGCTATCTCTGTTTCTAAAAGAGCAATCATCTTACAAAACAAAGATATCTGAGATATCGCTTCAGAAGAGCTCAAAACTTGACACACAAACCTCAAGAACGATGACAATCAACAAACACAAGACATTACGACAACAGATGCTCGTGACACTTTACAATGAGGTTCCATTTGTTAACATTAGTTATTAGTTAACATGAATGTACTTTTGTACTAAAGTATTTTTAAAGCATTTCTAATTTTTATCTATTTACTATATTTCCTGAACTTTTTTGGACACATCTACATTGTCAGTAAATAAAAATAACAGTGCTATAATACTAATTTAATAAACGGCTATAATGTATAATGATTGTTACATATAGACATAATTTCATCTGGAAGTCCAAAACATCCAAGTATAACTTTCTCAAGGGGAAAATCCAAACTTTGGGAGGTTATGCTAAAGTTCACAGTAAAAAACAAAACAAAAAAAACACCACCAAAACTTTGCTGGCGTTTTTCTTCATTATGGTAAATTCACCCATTCTCAGACTAAATAAATGTAAAATTGGGTCTTTAAATGAGCTATATTAAAACTCCAAGTGTTAAAAATGATATGGCACTTGAATGGGTTAAAGAGCTGAGTAAGACGTGCCGGCGAGTCCGGCTCCGCAAAACTGGTGCTGTTTATTTACTGACGATGTAGATGTGTCCAAAAAAGTTCAGGAAATAAAGCAAATAGATTTAAATTACAAATGCTGGTTGAGTAGCTCAATCCATTTACTGACAAACTTATGAGCATGCTTTGCTTTCCTTGTTGGGTAATAAAAATGTGTCTTAATATCCCTAATAACAAAAATACAAGCATACACGTAAATGTAATGTCTTTTTCTTCCAAATTATTATTAGGCCATTTTATTTTTTTTTATTTTTCTGGACTCCAATTTAATGGTTAAATGTAATCATAGTAATCACAAAGCATGTTTTTAAATGTTGAAATCATGAAACGTATACAATTTATTAAAAGTGAAACAAAAAAATACATTTTATGGCCTCTTGAAATAAAATAAACATTCTTCAATTCCATTTTGTTTTTCCCAAATTCTGTTTTCCATTTTTAATGTTCAATGTTAATTAATTGAATTCATAAAACTTTTTTTTTTTGGAGACACTTTATTTTAATTATGTATTAGCAAATGTTGGAATTAACCCTTAAAGAGCTAGAATATATTTAACTGAAGAGCACCTATAATAATGTTGTAATAAATGGCTATACCTTGCTTAGGGATTGTTACGTGTAGACATGGCACACACACACATATAAGTTAGTTAGTAAATGGATTGAGCTACTAAACCTGCTCACACTGAAATATAATGACCAGCTTAACAGCTTAAAGTCAGTCTGTGTTTCTCCATCATTACTATCTTAAGAGCGTGAACAAAACTGCTGCCATGTGCATCAAATAAAGATTAACCAGCGACATTAAAACAATCAAACTGATCATAAAAATAGCATTACTGCTCATCTGCAACTAGTTATGAATTTATGTCCTCAGTTTAACATCCCATCCTAACTGAGACGGTTTCATAACTCCTTCAATCATTCACTACAAAACGATGTTTGATCCGCATCAGTTTTGCAGTGCAAACACCATTAGAACAGCAGATACTGAAGTATTGACCCTACAGATGATGTTCAACATCTTAAAATATAGCAGTCAGTCACGGTGTCACCAAAACACGTTACTATTAAACGTTACTACGTTACTCTATATACGACACAGTGTAATATCTCATCGTAGCAGCTATAAATGTGATAAAATGTCGCCAGATGTCTGTGAGGGTGTAGTTGTTGTGATATAGACTGTATGTGTGTTTCTTCTGCTAATATTTCGAGATGTTTTGACTGATTTATGGTGTGTTTTGTACCTTTCCGGACGCTCCGTCTCCCAGAAGCACAATCTTCAGCTGCCGCTCCTGAATCTCCTCCTCAGAGTCCGACATCACTCAACACTTCTTCAACACAAACACACACACACGATAATAACACGATAATAATCAGACACAGATTTAAGCGCAGCGGTTAATCTGATCACGGTGAATCCGCCGCCATCTTCCCTCAGCGCGAACCAACACACACGATCCTCTCACACTTCACTGACAGAGCAGCTTTACACACGACAGACGAGTGTGTGTGCGGTCAACTTCTGGTCATTACCCAGTTAAACTCACCAGTTATCAGATATCAGTTTGATGCGGGTGGGATTTACAGTGTTTTGCTGTGTTTATGTGGACTGGCGCTCACCCGCCGCTATCGGAATGGACTCGTCCTTCATGACGCTTCCCCGTTGCCATGGAGAGAGAGCGCGAGAGAGAGAGACGAGAGAGAGAAAGATGCCAAAACAATATCAATTTCAATTAAATTATTCTATTTTAATGTATATTGTTTATAAAATTAAAATATTAAACTGCAGTTGTAAAGCTGAACTGAATTTTTCAAAGTGAAACATCTGAGACAGATGCAGAAGAATGTGTGATTTGATCTCTCAATTCAATCGACGGATTTATAAACGCATTGAATAAAACTCTCAAATACTTTATGTGAATGTGTTCGGTAGCTTTTCTTTTCTTTATACAGACCTGAAGCTTTAAATCTGTGAATGTTGGAGCTTTTCAGTCATAACGAAAACTAAAGCAAGAGTTGAAACGTAATTATAATCTTCTGAAAACTAAAGCTTCTTTGTTGATGGTTTCACGGAGAACCTTATAAACATCCACGGAACCACTAAAGCTTCTTAAAGGTTCTTTAGATTATTAAAATGTTCTTCACACTGAGAAAAAGCTCTTTTAGGATCTGAAAGGTTGTTTGGGAGCCAGAAATGTTTTTCTATGGATTCACTGTGAAAATAAACACATTTTGGAACCTTTATAATTAGGTTATAAATAGGTTATAATTAGGCCTAGGTTATATAATAATTAGGTTATATAAGGTTATAATTAGGCATAGGTTATATAATAATTAGGTTATATAAGGTTATAATTAGGCATAGGTTATATAATAATTAGGTTATATAAGGTTATAATTATAAAAAGGTTCCATAATGGGATCATTTTATGGGTTTAGTTTAATTTTTTTTTTTATTTTTTACATTGATTCAATTTTATGAATTAAACAGCTCAGAAACATAAACAAAAATAAATTTAATAACCAGTTAAACATGAAAGTATGATGCATTTCTCCTTAAACAGAACCTTTCTGGCATGAAGTGTTCTTTAAAATCGAGTCGAGAACCCTAGAGTTCTGAATGAACATTTCACTAGAAAAATAACCATGTTTTCTTGAACATTTGAGTAAAAGAAGCTTTAGTGGAATGGAAAGTTTCTCTGATGTTAAAGGTTCTTCAGAATCAATGTCAATAAACAACCTTTATTTGAAGAATGTAAAAAATATTTTTTCTATTATAAAATGCAAAAACATTTCTGTGTGGGTGAGTATTTCTATAAAACAGATTTATTTAGAAAATAGACATAGATGTTATATAAATAAAGAAAGACTTACAGCTTTTGTGCATTTGCTGTATTGTAGGTTCTTGGCCTCAGTAAAACACACACACACACACACACACACACACACACACACACACACACACACACACACACTCTCTCTCTCTCTCTCTCACACACACACACACACACACACACACTCACACACACTCTCTCTCTCTCTCTCTCTCTCTCTCTCTCTCTCTCTCTCTCTCTCTCTCTCTCTCTCTCTCTCTCTCTCTCTCTCTCTCTCTCTCTCTCTCTCTCTCTCTCTCTCTCTCTCTCTCTCTCTCTCACACACACACACACAAACACAAACACACACACACACACACTCTCTCTCTCTCTCAAACATACACACACACACACACATCCTCCTTCCAGAAATCAAATCTATATTGTGAGGAAATAACACTAATAGTTAACAGATGAAAAGTATAATTTAGTTCATATAAAAATCTGATTAAAGTAATCAGTCAAGCAGAATGTATTATCTGATATAAACTTTCACCAGTTAAAGTGAAACATAAACGCTGGAATGCCACAGATTAGTCTGATTATAATGTTTCCTCGTTTGAGAATCTCTTGACTGCAGATCCTCACCGCAGAGATCAGAGATCATCAGCTTCATCTACTTATGAGTGTGAATTTGGCCAAACCGATGATGATGTCAAACACACACTCGGTCCATCACACACACCAGAGTCTCGAAGCGCGTGTCAATCTCTCCGCAGATCTCGAGCTTTATATCAGATCCGATCCTCAGAAACAGAAACATGAACAGCAGAATGCTCCGCGTTCAGAAATAGAGCTGCTAAAAGAGGATTTCTGGGAGTTTTCGTAAAGTCACGGAGAGGTTTGAGCTAATGGGGCTCCCGGGATCTCCAGACTCATAAATCATCAGACAGACTCGCAGAGACTCCGAGATCACGATATATATAGGCTATATATATTTAAATATATATATTGCAATAGAATTATAAAATTCTTAGAACATTGCCAACTATATATTTTATATAATTAATCAAATAAAATAATTAAATTTTTTTTTTCAATGAATATGGGATCAACAACAGATTAAGCGTCAACCAGATGCACATCTGCAAACAGCAGCAAAAACGCTAATAACATCGCGTTTATAAGCACACATGCGTACCGTGAGCATTATGTTTCACCCATTAATGGTATTCTTATAATTTTTATTACACATAAAAACATAAAACAGAGAGAGAGAGAGAGAGAGAGAGAGAAACTGGAGAATTGCATTAGCATAATTATTTTAGTATATTATTTTAAATTATTATTATAGGCATGATTTGAATTAGCCTACATGAAGTTTGGACGATAGATAGATAGATAGATAGATAGATAGATAGATAGATAGATAGATAGATAGATAGATAGATAGATAGATAGATAGATAGATAGATAGATGTACTGTGACTTCTCTACTCATCTGAAATTATATTTAAAAGCAAGAAAAATTAAAAACTAGCTTTCCGTTTAGTTTTCTGACACTCTTAAATATCCCATTTATTGCAGAAAACATCTCAAAAAGTCAAGCGGGAGTGTAATTGGACATGATAATTACACGTGATGCTGTGACATGTTAACTGCGCGAGGCGTGAGGTTAAACACGCGCGAGCACCTGTTAAGCATTTCCACGCGCGAAACATCTGCTTCACATCATCTCTCTCTCACACACACAATCCAGCAGCGAGTGTTTCACGGCCACTTTATCTGTTCTGATGCTCGAGCAGGTACACAGAGATTCACGATGGACGCCATGAAAGAACGCGCGGGAAAAAAAACCCCGCGAAGCAAAAGCACATGTGCAGACTTAAAGAGAAACTGTAATTCAATTAGGAGATAAATGAACGTCTCGCAGGTGGACGATTCTGACCCGAGAGACTATAGTGTCTGAAATGCCAATTTTCTTTCATTAAACGTGAAACTTGATCTAGAACAACAACTGGCTCATGTCTCTGCGCGGGAAAATGATTGCCCTGATTATGCGCCATTATGTGTGACAGGCGCGCTCTATTAGCGTGTATAAAGAAATTGTCCTTGACGTCCAAAATTTGACCAAAATACACTGGCATTCACGAGATAGTAAAAAAGTACTTATGTACCGGGAAATTGCGAGGCAAATCCTGTCAAAATATAGACTAGGAGCTGCTCGCGCCAACATGACAAACACTGAACAAACACGTCACACAACTGAGCAATTCATTACACGACAATCACACAAACGTCAAAACTCTTTTAAATAAGTTTCAATTCGAATTTAGGCTACATTATGACGTCACAGAAAGGGTTCACAAAGAGCTTTTTATTTTCTAATTCTTTATCATCTGATCCGTGTAGACTAAAACATGCAAACAAATAACTCGCTATAAAACATCAAGAATGGTTTTAATCTCAAAAGAAAACGGACCAGAAGGATCTTTACTGAACCGAATAATCGCTGAACCTTTATGTGTGTGTGTGTGTGTGTGTGCGTGCCTGCGATCAATTCAATGCCAATAGCATTTTGAGTGGCAAAATGAAGATCATCTGCGAATGATTTCCAGATCAGCCCGTTTGTGTCTGAGACTAAAGCTTAAGGCCCTGCTCTCTCTCGCTCTCCTTGGTCATTACACACATTTTCCCGGAAAGTTGAACTGTCGGACTCGCTGCATTTATGCCGAAGAATGTAGTGAAGGCTCGTGCTCTTCTTTGGACGCATTACTCTCAGCACAGTAACAAATTAAATGATCAATAAGGTAGGCTATAACAACATGTGTTTTTAAATTGCTTTAACTCATCAAAATAAGTTAAGCAATTTTCAACTCTTTTATAAGTTATTCAAGATTCAACTTAACTTAGTTTAATGTAATTTAAGTTGAAATTACTCAAACAACCCAAGTTGTTGATCCAAGCAGCAACTTTTTTTTTTCTTAGTCTCTGAGAATTTACTTCAAAATATGGACCATCAATTCAAAGTGTTCCAATGCACTGCACATGTTAACCCACAACAGGCCTATACACCATAAGGAAAACTCATGTTAAGAAATGGCATCGTACTTTTCTTGAAATTAACCTTTTATTGGCATCAATGGATTCAAACCCAACAGCAAGGCATTAATGTGGCGATTGTTGTCAAATATTCATCCAATTTCCCAGCATACATCATTAATCTGTCATTTAAACCCAAGAACTTTCCACCTGAAAACTGCCAACAAAGCAAATGGGATGAATCCGTTCTAAAGCTAAATAATGCGCTCACTAAGGGCTTGCGACTCAAATAGCAGATTAATCATCTCTTGCGTGTAGGCTACACTGTAAAAAAAAATCTGTAGAAATTACAGTATTACTGGCAGCTGCTTGCCAGTAACTTACTGTAGTTTTAAATTGATGTTATTTACTGGCAACAGTTTGTTCAAAGTTAAATAAACATTAAACATTAACAAGTCTTTATCTTTACAGAATAAAACTAAAATAACAGCCTCATGCAAAGCATTCTGGGAACCAAAATCTGAAGGAAAAAAAACAGAAAAAGGTTGATTAAGATTTCTGGTTCCCAGACTGCTTTGCATTAGATTGTTATTTTATAATTTT